AGGTTACAGTGACAGACAGGCAGTAATTATATCTTGTGTGATTTATCAGGGGGAGGAAGGAGTGAGGGAAGTTCTTCAGATCCTGAACGACGAGTTCCGTCTTTCCATGGCTCTATCAGGTCAGTCTGATACTCGAGGTTTAGCGACCCAAACAGAAACTGATGAAATAATGGCATTCACGGTGTCCTCTCTTTCCGTCCTGAATGACCTGACAGGCTGCAGAAACGTAGCCGAAATCAGGAGGAACCTCGTTCAGTTTTCCAAACTTTGACGACGATAAGGACGACGGCGCCGCTTTAGCAGGATTCTGGGCTGTTCCTGGAATCCGACTTGTAATCATCCCCCATTGTACGAGTGACAGAATGTCGTGAGAAAGTGGAGTGTTGTTGGAAGACTGAGCGATTGATTAATGAAAGTGTTTCTGGCTTTGGTGGCGGAAAGGATGTGGGTGCTTATCATAAAAACAAACACATTTCTTCTGGTTAAACTGTGCAATGTTCATGAGAAATGCTGCCAGTGCTTGTGGTTGAATAAATACCTGCTGAGATGAACACATTCTTTTTGTTGTATCATTTTTCACATGAATCAGAAAAATTCATGTGTCTTTAAAAAATTTATTTTTTAAAGACACATGCAGTTTCATTTAGGCCTGAATTCCGCTGGACGATAAATTGCCCCAGAAGTTATCGCGATAAACGATAATATTGTTGTTTTGGAACCATTCTCAATATAATGGCATAAAAATACAAGGACACATTCTCAAATGTCAATAAACATACATTTAAACACTGGAACTGAAAGACGTTAGGGCCAGCAACCTGCATGCTTCAGTTCTCTCCCTGGTTTAGCACACCTGGATTAAATGGTGGCTCATTAGAGGCCTCAGGAGAACATTGACAAGCTGAAAAGTTTGTTACTACCACCAGGGAGAGAAAAAAGACATGCAGGTTGCCGGCCCTCGAGGACCCACTTTGGGGACCACTGTCCTAGCTCACTAGATGTGTATTTATAAAACACACCTCAAGTCATGCCTGGTTAAATGTTTGCATTTCTTAGCCGTCAGCTATCTTCTGGCACACCTTTGGCTCGATGTTTGACCTCACGAATCTGTAGAGCTGATTGAAATAGTTTGGTTTTCTAGCCGGGTTCAGCATGCGGCTTTTCAAAGGCCATTCCAGAAGCTCAGCATTAGCCAGTTTCAGTCTTTCCTAAACTGGTTTTGATGTGCTGGAGACCCCCGTCCAGGTTTCACCTCACAACCTCTGAGTTGAGCTGATGTAAAAGAATATGGAGGCAGTCTTTCCTCAATGCGATTCCCTCCATCCTGTGGA